ATTTGAAAATTGTGTTACTGCAGCTGATAGAGATTGTTTGAAAAGTCACTGACGATGATTTGGTTCCCGCTAACTAATAGCCTATCAAGATAAACGAATATATATTCAACAGATAAGCGGAACATAAGTTTATTCCTTCAATCTTTATCTGAATCTGCAGAACTTACTTGACTTGAGACTTCTCAAAAATTATGTTCGAATGGTGAGGTAAGGTGGGTTGGGGTTGTGCATCTCTTATCTGGTATGGTTAAACTTGATTCTATGGGTTTGTTGCATGTGTATGATTAACGGAGAAACTGACCATATCACAAAAGCTTATCATTGACTTATGTAATATGGAAATTGAAGTCATTGTCAGATAAACCCTAACAGACAAACATGTACTCTGAATACGGTGGACCTATTACTTATGTTATCTGAGAAACGGACGTAAGCAAGAAAATTTTACATTAACCAAATCAGACAACCATGAACACCTTTTAATGATTCCAATCATCAAATAGAGTTGCTTATAAACATTTTGCTTATCATATTTCAGACATAAACCAAGGAACAATGAAAATGACTGATGAGCCTGCCAGGAATACTTATACTTGTACATCTACCAATCATTCCACTCACCAAAACGTTGACCGTGGCTTAAATTATCTTGAGAAATAGACCTAATTATGGAACATTAACATTAACCATGAAACTGAAGTTAAGGTCAGATGACCCATTTCAGACGAACAGGTACGCCTTACGATCGTTCAGTACACCAGTTTACATATTGTTTATAGTTTTTGAGATACAGCTTTAACATGAAAACGTACCCTTATCACTGATCAATTAAATTAGGTCAAGGTCAGACACAGTCTATCCGTAGGCCTTGTAATGATTCTAAGTGCTAAATTTAGTGATTCAACGAGTGAGATAAACACGAAATAAAAAAATTGGTTTTTTTCAGTAGAAGCTCAGGCCAAGGACAATTCACATGGCAGACTTAAATTTCGTGACATGTTAATACTAGATTTGAAGTATCCAGTTTCTTCATGGCACTGGCTACGGTTACATGGAAATGTAACAATACAAAAAATATTATTGTTACATTGGAGACTAAATGCCGGAATGCATGGTTGGGTAAGGACCTGATTAATTACAAATGTAACAATAATTATTGAGGCTACGGTTACATTGCGTTATTGTTACAAGAAAAACAACAAGTTCACAGTTTTTTTGTTCACAGTTAGCAAACTTTGCTATTGATGTATCATTTTTTTTAGAACTGCGTTTGTATAGCTGTATGAAATTTGTGTCTTGATATTGTTTCAGTTTTGTTTCATACGCATCCCAAGTTTTAAATTTTTCACCCAAAACAAAATTGGCAACAGGAATCTCTTCATCCATTGTTCAAAGTATAATTACAGTAATAAGTAGTAGGTGTGCAGTTAAATACTTAGAAGTGAACACTTTTCTCAGCCCGATCTCAACAACAAACCATTGAACTATATTTTTCGCCTTTGGCACTACTAACCTGAAGTAGTATCTTTAAGAACATCAAAACCATTAATACGTAAAACTATTTAATCACCATTTGTTGAATAATAATATTTATTATTTATCATTATTACAAGTATTATTTAGTACATATGAAAGAATTAAGCACCAAAACTATAGAAGATTTAAGTTTAATAAATCTAGCGTACATTGCTGTTTTTCATGTAACAATAACGCAATGTAACCGTAGGCTCAATAATTATTGTTACATTCGTAATTAATCAGGTCCTTACCCAACCATGCATTCCGGCATTTAGTCTCCAATGTAACAATAGTATTTTTATTATTGTTACATTTCCATGTAACCGTAGCCAGTGCCTTTCTTCATCCTACTGAAATATAAAGCTGTATACAAATAAGACGTGCCGCCGTCATAGCATCAACTATCAAAATTCAAATGGAAAAATTCTGCAGGTAAGTAATCGATACCTTTCGGATTGTCACCTTGTCTGTCAACTACAAAATTATTTCATTTATTTCCACATCTTATCACAAAACTGGTCAATTACACACTGCTTTAGCAAGCATACAAACTTCTGCCAATGACATTAAAGTTTCGACTCCTTATTGGTACATGTATTCTCCAGTTTAATAGGACAGTCTGCAACCAGTCAATCCAATTTGACTCTAAGGCGAAGAGTACTCGGAAACAATAGATCACTGCTCTTGCATCAATCACCTGTTTGAATTCCCACAATTGAACAATAATTGTGAGCTTTGCATAAAATTTTACTAATTACTAATTTAAAATTTACTAATTTCATATGCTAGTGAGCTGCTTTCAAATGTGGATGCAGATTTTCTTCTCAAGGAATACATTAGGTAGAAAATTCTGCATTACTCTGCATATTACAAGGAATATTATATAACTAACATTACCGGTGAATAAAAATAAAGGGTTATTTGTGATCTCTCTGTCAATTGACGAATCTACAAAAGCAAGTAATATCATTTAGATTTTAAAGTGTTTACACCATTTAATCTAAATTCAGATGTGTGCTTTTAAAATGCAGGATTTTCAACAAGACAAGACCAGACCTTGGCAGGGCCTTTAATGTTAACAAATGATTCACACTTAAGTTATCAGAAAGTGGTAGAAATCTGGAAGGATTAAATGCTAAAAAATATAAAAAAACTAAAGGGAACAAATACCATTAGGCACATGGAGTTCAATGACGCCCTGGGCATGTTCACATATTACATTTGCAAACAGGATAGCACATCCAAATTTTTAGGGTGTATTGTTTAATGAGCCTATAAATTTAGATATTATCCGAACAGACTTTTTTTTAAAAGGTTTTTCATTAACACTGCAATTAGCATGATTAGTTCTTAAAATATTGTTTTTATCAGTATATTGAAAATAGTAAATCATAACCCAGTGGTGGATCCAGAACTTTTCATAAGGGGGGCCCGCTGACTGACCTAAGGGGGGCCTGCTCCAGTCATGCTTCAGTGATTCCCTATATAATCAACCAAATTTTTCCCACAAAAGGGGGAGCCCGGCCCCCCAGGACCCCCCCCCCCCCCCTGGATCCGCCTATGTAACCAAACTGAATATTATTGTTAAACACATATGTACATTCAAGGTCATACAATGTCAATACCTTTATTTCATCATTGCACAAGGTCATGTCTTTCTCTGACTGTTAATGAGGTCTGACCACTAAATCCATTGGGTGGTGGATGTGTACTGATTGATATTTTAGTCTTATTAGTTGTTATTAGCTTTGAACTAGCTTTCAGTAACTGAGAGTACTTTCAAATCTGGACTTTGTGTGTGTTTTTATCTGCTTTGTATTGATATGAGTTGAGCCCTTTTCAACTGAATTTTATACTGTACTGTTACACCACTGTCCCAAGTAAGGGGGAGGGTTGGTGACGGCAAACATCTTTAACCCCATCACATTCTGTATGTGCCTGTCCCAAGTCAGGATCCTGTAGTTCAGTGGTTGTCATTTGTTACTGTTTATACATATATATTAGTGATGTCTGTTTCTTTTTTGTAAAATCTGATGTCATAGATGGTTAGACAAAATGTTACCTTTCCTGATTTTATAGTGTGAATTGTTAAGTTGTGGTAAGATGAGATTAACAATAATATAAAGTCACATGGTTTTGAAAACAGCATTGTTTTGTTGATTTTTTAGGTAGTAGTTTTTGACTCTCTTAATCTGACTGTACGTATATTGGGGAGGTGGTTGTATTTAGTGAGCAAAATATTCCCCATTATAACAGTACCCAAAAATAAGATATAAACAGTAAAAGATCAAAGCACTTTTAATGTCTTTTATTATATTTATATAAATAAACATTTATGATTATATCATGCTCTCAGTGATATCCAACCTACATATAAGAATTTCATTTTTAATGACCCTTCATTTTTAATACAACCTACAAACCTATATATCAGATGAAGGAATTGCAAAACTTAATGTTCTTTCCCCTTAAAATTTTTATATAGCTGTAGATTAATTTCTTTTCCTGGGTACCAATTTTCCTGAACTAGGATAAAATTGTATTTTCATGGATGTTGTATTTTGTGGTTTGCCAAAGTCTGCACACAAGCCTATAGAAAATTGGTACAGTCATAGAAATTGGGGTTTGGCATTTACAAGACCGAATTGATGATTCTTCAAATTTTTCTTAGGAATGTATTACAAAATTAATAAAAATCGACAGGACCGAATACATTTATACAGGACATGTCCTGTCATTCCTGTACTCATTTCGAGGACTGTTGATACTTGGTTGAACATTTAAATTTTTTGCTCACCTGTATCCAAGAAAATTGACATCCAATGAATAATACTAAAATCCACAGTATACTGAAAATTTGAAATTAAGAAATAATATTATTTGCTTTGAATAGTGTTTTGACTCTTTTTGTTAAAATAAAATCCTCTTTATTTCAGGATTTGCCGAGGACATTAGCCTTATTTAAAGTACTGGATGTTACAGAGGACAAAAACAGTATATTATCAAATTGGAAGACATTAAAGTTGGGAAAAGTTATAAAACAGATTACCTTTTATTCAGAAACACTCCCAAGACTTTAGTTATTTTCAGTAACTAAGCACTTTAGTCATTAGAAAAAAATGTATCCTATGAAAAAATACAAGTAATTCTGAATCTGATTTTTCTGTAATTGCAATTGAAAGTTTAGAATTCATAGGAACAAAGCGGGAGTCTCTTCTACTGACATACATAAATAACTTAACTCAAAAAGATATTTACCTCCAAATACGAAACATGCTGTCAAAAATTGGAGTGAATATGAGATTAACATATTGACATTTTGTTACATTCTTATAACATGACTCACTGTTGAACTATGTCAATTTTTGGTTTGTTTATTAACAAACTTGGCTATCTCACTGAGACTCCTTTTGTTTCATATAAGCTGGAAGTAATTTCAAATGTGTTTGATATGTTAAGTAGTAAATATTTGAATAACATCATGCATTTTTGTTCACTTTATTCTTATGAATACTGACATTAAATAATAAATCGACAAGTTCATTTACTTTAACCTCTAAATAATCTTGAATTCATGATTTATAGGGGGTGACACACCACAAATCAACTGAAAACATACATGTCACTACTTCTAGTTACAAAGCCATGAAATTTACTTTAAACTGTAACTTTATAAATACAAATCATGTTTAAAAACACCTTACGAAAATTAAATATAAAATCCTTCTATGCATAGATCATCAATCAAAACCATCCATACTTCTTGTCTTTGTTTTCCTCTTCTGTGTATTTTTCCTCCATTTCTAAGAAATAGTCCCTGTCGTAACCCTCTAATAAGTCTTCCTCCATACGTTCTACCTTTGGTGTCGGTTGCTGTGGGAGGTTACGCATGGCTGAATCAAGTGGTAATACATTTAGCTTACCATTAGATATACTTAGAATACCAAAGTCTTGTAAGTGTTTGATGGCCTCTGATGAATCAAATTCAATTTTGGCACCTGTTTTCTTCTCGATCCATTCCTCACATTTTCTCTCTAAATGCAAATCTGTAATATTTCCTGAAATAACAATTAAATCAGAAATTATCTTGCTGGATACAGCTACTGCTAAGACTTAGATATAAATAAGATGTCAAACCATGGCAAAATATTTAAGAATCATTAAGATTGTTATTGAAACTGATATACTTAAATCTTGAGGCTATCTAAAGGAGGATAATTGAAAATATCATACTATGTGTAGCAATTTCAAAATGCATAAAAAAAATGGGTTAATAAAATATATGTTCTTTCACTGATTGATGAACTCATTTAGATTTTATGAATACTATTTTGCACAAAAAACTTAATGTCAAGATGTCATAATAAAGGGTCTGTTTATGATTGATGTTGTCTTCATTGATAATAGCTACAAGTTAAGGTAATATTTAAACCAGGCTTCAAAAAACTATTTGTTGAACAGTCACTGCAAAATAATCAATATTACTAATTTATATGAAATTTTAAAAATATGTTTTGCAAACAACAGAGACTGAAAAGATCATGCAATTGTCTATAATAATTGTCAAACATTTGCCAATCAATCATACATTATTATTCATCCATTTCTTTCATTCATAAAAGAGCTCCTTATGGTGAATATATGAGTGTCCAGATGGGGAGTCTTATATATAAGGATCCAGATGGGGAGTCTTTTTTGAGGGTCCTGATGGGGAGTCTTATATATGAGGGTCTGGATTGGGAGTCTTCTTTTTTCTTTAACATTTAACGCCATGTTTCTCTATAATTTTTTAAGCCATTGTTCTCTATCTTTATATTTTAGCACCATATTGTTCTCTATTCTTTCTTGATATTTTTGCCAATTATTCTTTATTCTGTTAACCCCTCCAAAGACCCCCATATACAGTTCCAACCATTTACAATACTAAGAAGTTTATTTCATTTAGTTCATACCTAATTCTGTTGGTACAAACTGAATGTCCTTCTTCATTGCTAATACTGATCTATTTGTCAACAGAAATGTGTAGGCCATAAGTGCCTCTTTGAAACTTTCATCTTCAGCTCGATCAACCAACAAAGCCAAGGAGCCACGGTTATTTGCTACGTTTTTAAAATATAATTGTCTATTTAATCGTGCAAGGTATTTATTTCTACGATTATTGTACACAGTATATGTACGACCTCCTAACAGTCCAGCCGTTATAAATACAACCAAAAACCAATCAATATTCAGATGAGCTAAAATCGTGACACATTTCCCCAAAACAGATGACATTGCAAGGAAAGCCGATCCTGCTATAATTTGTTTGTCTCTAGATTTGATTACTATTCTTCCGTCTGGTAATAACATTTCTAAACCATTCACTGGAACTTCTTTATATACTTTTAACATAAGTTTCTGATCTTTTTTCAACCTTAAAGCTATCACAACACGTTTGTAAAAGGCCGGTCCATCTGTCTGCTTGACAGGTGTCTTCCAGAACTGTAATTTTTTATACCATGGAATACTAATTTCTGGTTTCTCTTTTCCTAAGGCCCAAATACGAAGAATATCAAAATTGTTCCTATCCACTTTGACCTGTAAATATAAGTCACATAATTTATTCTTGTGTAGAAATTCAAAAAGGAAACATAGTTTACTTCAGTGAAGTATAACAACATTTTAAGACGTTCAGATACTGAGGCTTCTTCAGTTACTTTGCTATTTCTCTAAAAAAAAAAATATTATAAAATTACCAAGATTCATTAATTGTTTCCTATAAATTTAATACCTATTTGTATTGTTAAAATTTAATTTAATTTCATGCCTTAGAATACACTGTGCCATTACAGTAACAGTGTATGTCTTACATTATCATTTATAGTTACACAATTAAATTTGTTCACTTGTCAGGAACTACCAACTAAATATCAAGTAAGGAAAATAAATTATCAATTATCAATTAAAGTTCAATGAGAATAACTATTCTGTTTATCAGTTTATGGCATTTATTTTTTCTCAAAAAAAAATGTATAAACTCAACAAATTTAAGCAACTTAAATCAATTGAAACAATGCACTAACAGTCAAATATATACTTGTAACTAAGGAGATTTAACCAAATGTTTATTAATGCAGGTTGAATGCATATTTTTCACTTTTGTGCTTATTATTCCCCTGTCAACTGAGCCATGCATTTGTCTGTAGTTATCATTGTAAAAATATGGATTTTGTTCATAGTAAGTCTGCCTCAGATCCAAGGTTCATATATATATTTCAATGGCAGAAAAGAAAAATTTACAAAAAGAGACAATCTTTGATAATTGATTTGGAAAGGGATATGACATTTTTTGATGCAATAAATGGATCACACATTAACGAAAGGCACTTTTAATCCTGTTTTGATAAAGTTTCAAATTTATTTTGCCAAAATTAAAATCTTTTAATCTATGCTCAAGTAACTAGTTCCGAGAGGGAAAGAAAATACGATTTGTTTGCATTAAAAGTTGTTACAGTGAAATAACATACAACCAGTCTACAAAATCAAAGCTTTCACAATGTTTCTTAAAAAATAAATTATCTATATTTTTTTAATTTCTTTGCTTACAAATAAAAAATGCTGTTTCATGAACTAAGTAATAACAGAAAATTACCGATGAAAAAAGCAACAGTTTTGAACACCTGGGTGACTAGATATTGCCTTTGGCCATTGAGAAAAAAGAGAAATGACGAACAGGAAAGCAACTTCTTAGCCCTAGTCGCCCAGTAGCAAGAGCCATGATTTCTTAACTGGAAACATCTAATTTAATCAAAGAGCTGATTGCTCTGAGGTGGAAGAAGATGCATAAAAGGTAACTTGAAATACCATAAAAACAGCCCACACCAACCCAGCCTGCTTTGTCCCATTATTGCTTTCGACGTATTTTTTTCTACCAAAAATAATAATACTCATAACTCAACCAAAACTCACTATACTTAACATAAAAATCTGCAAATACTGTTGATTCAAATTACATTTTCTATAACTAAATTCCATACATTCGTCTCAGCATGGTCAACTTGATGCAATGCAATATCGCCAAGCGATTTGGTTTCACTTGAAAGTTTTCTGTCAAAGGCAGATAGTTAACTTTAAAAAAAAACTGGCCACCAAGATTTTAGTCAAGTTTGCTAAAATTAGGGTTTTAAATAAAAAAACATATATTGAAAAATTCTAAATATATCCAATGCAGATATGTGTTAGGCTAAGGATTGACCGGTCATGTCAGGTGATGACCTTGCTATGTTATTGCGATAATTTAGAGTCAAGCGCACACGTGAATCTGCTGGTGTTTTACACATCAAACGATGCACTGTCAGTTGACAGAATCACGTGTGCGCTTGACTCTTTTAGCATTTCAAACCCGTTCATTTAAAGTGCTTGACCCATATATCATATTTGTTTTTCATCTAATATTTTTACACAAAAGTATGAGGGTAGGAAAGGCATTTTCCGTCAGGAGTCACACAGCCCTTTTCTGAAATTTTTTATGAAAATAAAACTATTGACAGCAACGAATTACTGGTTCCGTACTCGAGTCTCGATAATGTGTCATTTTTGTGTGTACAGTACGCACAGAGAGTTTGTAATCGCGAACTCTAATCACGGATTTCGGAGTGTAGCGGTGTCACACCGCGAATCACGGATTATACTCCCAATTTCCTCCAAAGATTCTCTCCCAACACCGCGTGGCTGTTAATTGGTTTATTGCCCATCGGATGTACTGAAAATTAATGACGCGTGACAACATAATCGGATTAGCCAGATTTATTACCTTTGTACATTTAATCGATCTTGATTGCACCTGTGTGCTTTAAAACACGGTATTAAAATTTCCTTTCTTTGACAGATAAAAATGTGACATTTTCATTCAAAATAAGATAATTATTCTTGTATGTATTTGCCCCATGTCATTGCCATTTGAAATAAAACGTACAAACGTATAAAAATACGAATAAAACACTTTTTTTGTATTTTTATTATAGTCCGGTCAGGTCATAATTTTTGTTTTTTCAACAAAGACGATTTTACTACAATTAGAATCTTTTATGACCTACTCAGTGAGCAATATCCGGTTCATTAATTGTTCAATATATAAATATCAACTGGCTTAAAACAAAATGATGTTTTTACGGTAATTTGTCCAATCTAAACCCAAGAGTTAATTTATCGGATCAACAAGTGAACTCTGTTACTTTCAATTTATTTTGCAATGTAAAATATTATATTTCACTACCTCGGTAGATTACCGACCTGAAATATTTGAACTCAGAAAAGAAACTGTCAAGTGACAACTCTGTTGAACGAAGGGAAAACGTTGTGTATGCAGGATTTTTACGATCTACACATTTTCACAGAGGATCTCTACCAACGCCCAACAGGAACTGAACGACATGCATCCTGTTTTCATCTACCATTTATGTATATTGTTGACCATGGACGTATAAATAATGTCCAGGTTTATGTCCTGTGTTGACTGAGAAACGTAAAATTAAAAGGCTGGTGTTCGTTTATTCAGAAAAGGATTATATTTTAGATTCCGGTTAATCAATTGTAAAAGGACCTTCTAGAGCCTCAATCTTAAGGCATACAAATGTCAATCATTCCAAAGCAAATTTAAACCCCGAATGAATTTTCCCACGGTCATCCAGAAAGGTCACCTGAGTTTACTGTTACGTGATAATATTTCCCGCCAAATAAAAATCTCGTGGACAAAATTGATGTCACTATTTTTAGCATTCAATATTGTGATCGAAGTCAAGTTCAAAGTTCAACCACGGACTGTTGATCACTGAGATGTGTATCGTCTTCCCACGGCAATTAATTTCTTTTAACAAATTTAAAAATCAATGTCCTTTAAACAAAACACAAGTTTACATTCATTGTGCGTAAATGAATATTATGCAACGACGAGTTGATGCAGTTATAGAAGTATTCCTGTTGTAGCCGAAATGTAATTATTTATCCTAAAGTAATGCCAACAAATCGTAAAGAGAAAATGCCGTAGACTTATTAAGCATAACGAATGGTGAATAGTATTTTCTTTTTTACTTGCATATACAAATTTTAAGACACGTAATTTTCTTTAAACTGCTCACTTTTATATTCAGCGTTAGTTTCCGTTTATTTTCACGCAAGTATGTCTCTTTTCGTAAATAAAATAATTTACCGATGAACTTAAGGTCAAAATCAAGTATAGTTTTTGTTATAAAACTTTAATGCAATTGAAAGAATTAACAACAACATTCTGCTTTTAAATCTTTAATTTGTTTCAAGCAATTATGTAATCGTAAAATGAAAATGACGTGGACTTATTAGCATAACGAATAGTGAATAATATTTTCTTTTTTACTTGTATACAAAACTTTGAGACATGTAATTTTCCTTTAAACTGCCCACATTTATTCAGCGTAAGTCTCCGTTTATTTTTACACAAGTATATCTCTTTTGTAAATTAAATATTAATTTACTGACCAGAAATAAAACGAGGTAAAAATCAAATATAGTTTTTTTTTAATAAAACTATTTTTAAATGTACAGTGTAATTGAAAGAATTAACAACAACGTTTTGCTTTTAAATCTTTTATTCAGAAATATAACCTGATTATTAATAGACAGGAAATACAATTGTTTAATTACATAAGTAATCTCACATACCTTGACTGTCGCGTGCCGGTATAGATCAGAAGGATTAGGGCAATTAATTACCTGGTGTGACACCGCGTCACACCGGACTGGGAGAGATGTCGCTAATACAATAAACAAAAGGTAGCGAATTTACGCGGAAGTCGGAGGGAATACTCCCAAATTTCTCCGAGAATTTAGGGAGGGATGTCGGAGTTTCCTGGTGTCACACCAAGAAAAAACTTGGTGTTCGGAGTTTGGGAAGCCTTTCGCGAAATTTGTACTGTACCTTAATGATGAATAATGGTAAAGAGCTGGACTATTCAGTTGTTAAATCCCGTTTTTATCACTTCTAAAACTTTGAAACGTATTAAAGCAATAAAAGCAATCATTGGGGACATTCCGACAATGACCGACATGAAAACTACGTACTTTCGAAATGGAATCTGTCAACAGACATTAGTTTGTACATTGATATTTCTGTCAACAGACGGTGCATCGTTTGATGAGTAAAACACCAGCAGATTCACGTGTGCGCTTGACTCTTTATTATCGCAATAACATACTTAGATATTCTAACTTTTGTTTTAAAAAACACATGTTGTCTATAACTGGGATATGACTCAATTGATTGCATTAAAGATCTGAACGCTGACGGAACAACTAAATCCGTGTATTTTTTCAAGCATTATTGATTTGGAGTCGTACTCTCCACGTATATACTTGACTTTAACTCAAGATGGATTGTATGAATATATGACAATTCTGTTTATCATTATTGTGAAACTTTCTGATGCACAATTAAATTTCCCATTTGTGCACATGCGCAGATACGTAACCAACATGGTTTAAATTAACCCAAATAAAACCAGTTGTTTTATTCCGATAATTTCAATTATTAATCTACCAAAGACAATTATTACAACAATCAGTGAGAATTCTTATCATGACATATTAATGCTCCAAAACAAGCCATCAACTTTTAATTAATTTTTGTTCATGTGTGTTCATGAATTTCGAGAATTTATACCATATAAATATCTGAATAAGTTTATTAAACTTTAATACCCATAATATTATTATTTTTTAATAATTGCAAGGACGTATAAAACGTCTTTGATAAAAGCAGTCAATATAATACTTCCACGATAAAAGTAAGAAGTAACTCAGGGTGAAAGTATATGAGGACGAACTCAGGGCGAACGGACCAAGGGCGAACATGTAATCAGGGCCAACCGACCCGATACCAAATTCACGCATGCGTACTACAAACTCTACTTTAAAGACATCCGGTTACAAGTAAACAAATAACGTTCATGTAAGATGAGATAAAATCTAAATTTACATAAATAAAAGGGTTGATATTAATACATTAAAACATGAGAAATTATAAAACTATAACGATAGTGATCATTTTTCAAGCCTAACTAATAAATTAAATGATGCAGATGCTTAGATCATGTGTAAACATCGGTGTCAAGATATGGCACGGAAGTTGTTATGAAATTGTAAAGCACAGAAAGGGATACGGCATACGTCCTGGTGACGGTTCAATGATTTTACATCCGGCAGTAAAGGCTTTCAGAAGACTTGAAGTCTTCTTCCACCAAAAATTTGAAAGAATTCTTTTGTCAAAATGTGTTGTAAAAATGTCAGAAAAAAACAAAGCAAAAACATTTTGCAGTTTTTAAGAAAATGGAGTGGATTTAATTCTTCTCAAAAATACACATTTCACAATTTTGGGTTACAGTTGTGTTTTTGATGACTACAAAATTTTAGAAAACTGTCTAATTTAATATAATTAGACGCCCTTGGTGTCATTTACATTGTGTCAAAATTTGTAACCAAAACATTTATCACTTTAAAAGATATTGCTGTTTTTGGAACTTGAAAAGAAATGTACAGAGGAAGTATTGCATTTTATTGTATAATGAGAGATATTTTAAACATCCCTATTCTTGATGTTTGCATATCTTGGTTTTCCAATTTTGATCTTGACACATTCATCCTGTTGTTTTCATAACAGTTCAAAAAAGTGAAAAAGTAAACTTATGTGAAATTTGCTTAATTTACAGTATGTATAATCCATGTTATTTCTTATTGGTCCTCTTTTCTTTACATTATTCCAAAAATGACCATATTACTGGGATATGGAGGTTTCAAAAAGCCTTTTTATTTAAAAGATGTCAAAATGACAGAAAACTAGGTTTTTCTTACATTTATTAGTGTCATTTTTAAAGCAAGCAGGAGCCATAACTTTTGAGAGTAAAATAAAAAATGGTCTATACCAATCCTGACCTTCATTTTATAATATTTAAATTTGAAAAGGATCAAGCCATAACAGCTTGCATTGTTTAAGCATAAAAAAAAAATTTAATTTACAAACCCTAACACCTTCAGACACATCATGTTCATTCATAGATCTAATGAGAGTATTTTCTGAGAGTTCATGAAAGTTTGCCTTCTCTACCAAGTCTTCTAGTCTTTGTAATAACCAAAACTCATTGTCAAGTTTCTCACGCCTGGTGTACTTTCTGGTTTTTACTGTATCTTTATCAGGATTAATAGGATCAAACAGTGCCTGAAAATTAAACAACTTTATGTAAATAATATTTTGCTTATGCTATAAACACTTGACAATGGTCTTGGTTGTTTGATATTTTGAAGGAAACGATAAGTTGCACTCCAATGTTGTGCAAGATAAACTTCCTTTCTTTTTATTAGCCTCAGCTGACCTAGGGTCAATCGGCGTAAACCATGTCATTGAACAATCGGTTCTTATTGTGACTTAATAACATAAGAATTATGACATAGGAAATTAATGGGAAAGTGCAATAATTCGAAAGTCGTCTATTGTTAATTCTAATATGACGTGCTTCTTTCGCTTTGTAAACAACATCGTGATAAAATTCTCGATATATCTATACTTAGCCCAGACTCAGAGATATACATAATAATGGATGTTACAATATACCTCCCACGTAAATCCACATGTATTGGAACCTATTTGCAAACGCTTTGCCGATTTTATTGTTTTAAAAATTGCAATTAAAAAAAGACAAAAGAACTTTTATTCTTATTCGGATGCATAATAAAAAGAATTAATGCGCAAGAGCTCAGAGAAATCAACAAAATCAAAATAAAATAAAATTCCGTGAAAGTCTATTAATATTTTTGGCGCATTTAAGTCATTTCAAAACATGATGTCATACAAATGAAAACACTAGAGTTGAAGGTTTTCCGTTACGTGAACCATCGACATTCGTATAATATTGTATTAAAATGGATTTTTGAGGTAGGTTTTGTTCTATTTTCTATTCTATTGCATTTTTCGCATATTTACTGATTTCAGCAAGTCAACATGGCGGATCCTTAGTTACGAAATGTCAACTTTGGATTTGACGGTAGCTTACGAGAAAAACATGTAAATTAAAAATGGCAAATATTGGGTTTGAGAAGTAAAAGAATTTAATATATTTTTTTCTAGCGGTTATTCACGAAAAAGTCCATGCAAGCTAAAGATTTATTAGAATGTTTGAGCTTTATCTAACAGGGAGTAAAAAAGAACAGCCACACACATGGCATACCCACCCTCGCTTCAGTTTTTTAATGACCTTATTTGTCCTATTAGAATCGAAATAATTCATGGAAGCCATAGATTTGTTGTAAATTTACACATGGCCTGGGCCGTGTGTAAATTTCCAACAAATCTATGGCTTCCATGAATTATTTTTTAATTTTACATTTTTTTAAGTGACAAAGATATTTATTCTCTCTTAAGGTGATGATAAAAAAATTTCTGTAATCATTTGGAAACAATATTTTTCATCCTCTACATGTGAATTTGTGTTAATTTTTGGACAATAAAAAATGTCAGCATAAACAATGATGACATCACAAGTCAACTTATGTCATTCATATTTTTCTATCAAGGTTTGTACATCTTCTGAAGTATAAACATAATTTTCAAAATAAGACGCAGCCCTATAATGCATGTCTACTTTACATCAAAAATACACTTTCAACGGTAAGTGTGATATATAGTATGTGAAAATGCAGATGTTTTTTCAAGAACGATAATGTCTAAATGTCTTTACCTTAATTTCATTAAGAATGCCATGGTATTTGTTTACGATTGCTGAATCTAGTCCAAGAGCAAAATCTGTATAAATTTTCTTCTCGCTTTCACTTAGAAAAGCTTTTTCTTCAACCAGTAATCTAATCAACGACTGTCTTGTTATTGGAATGTACCGTTCTCTAAAATCAAATGATAAGAACTGAAAAATTAGCCATGGGAGAAATGCATCATAGAAACATAATCACTGTTGTTTATAATTCTCACCAATTGTCAATATTATGCTGTTCTATAATTCTTTTTATGACATGAATTAGGATAAAATACAACAAGAAATATGTGCAGAATACACATGATACAGTCAAAGATAATTTTAGTAAATAACATGCATCAAACTTAAAACATGTTACTTTAATTATTCTTCCCTTAGTTCATGTAGTTTATTTATTTTGTATTTACTTTGTATCATAGATCAAATTTATTTTTTCAGTGTATGTTCACTGGTTTTAATATGTCTTTTGATTGAGTTAAGTCATTTCAATTGATATTTTATAGTGTGTCTTTCTATGTTGTGATGTTACACTATTGTTTCAGATAAGGGTGAAGGTTTGGTACCATTAAAACGTTTAAACCCGCTGCAATTGTTTGCACCTGTCCTAAGTCAGGAATCTGATGTTCAGTAGTTGTTGTTTGTTGATGTGGTTCATAAGTGTTTCTCGTTTTTTATATAGATCAGACCGTTGGTTTTCCTGTTTGAATGGTTTTACACTAGTAATTTTTGGGGCCCTTTATAGCTTGCTGTTCGGTGTGAGCCAAGGCTCCGTGTTGAAGACCGTCCTTTGACCTATAATGGTTTACTTTTATAAATTTTGACTTGGATGGAGAGTTGTCTCATTGGCACTCATACTACATCTTCTTATATCTATTATATCTGTTGTATCTTTTTTCTCTGGCTGACTTGTATAAATTCTGCTGTGCATTAAAATACAATTCATTTTGTCCTTTCTATTGCCCCAATAATGAAATAATGTGTTGATGGTTGAGCGAAAGGGTAATTGTCTGGTGTCTAGTGTATGGGACTGTTCGATGGATGTTTTTATGTCACTGGCTAGCTGATTTTTGTGAAAAGAAAGCTGAAAGTACAAGTACATAGCTTTCACATCGCCATGACTCCAGCAGTATCCACCATGCAGTAACACATAGAAACTGATTTCTGAAAATGCAGGCAAATGTGTTGGGGGACTCAGAGCACCAAGCTTAAGGGTCACAGGGATGCAGTGTGTAAACCCAACTGGTGCATGGATATGTCTTAAACTCATCAACCTTGCCATGTTATGGATAAATAACCATACAGATAGGGATGGCTGTCTGTTAAGGAGAGACAGCTCTGAATAGAAACATGGGTAGATCATGGCTCATAGTTGGGGATGGCAACTGACCTACATGTAAAGAGGAGCACTTTGACAAAAAATCTATTGGTCCTCCCAGTTCAAGGTTGATCATAGTACAAGACCAACTAACTTGTCTCACAAAACAAAACCATTATGGAAACAAGGACAAGAAACAAAATTGAGATTATTGGAGACAACTCATCCTTGCACTATGTGCCAAGAGGCAAAGCAAGGACTATGTAGCAAGTAGGTAATAATAATAAATTATAAAATAGTATAGCCGTATAATCCGAAATCTAAATGTGTCAACCATTTAAACAAAATCTCATAAATCCAGAAAGTTTGTAACAGTTCCATATTAAATCTTTATCTCTGTCAATGAAACAAATTCTGTCCAAAGCTGAAAGTACTTCAAACTTGATTCCAATGTGATTAAGCATTTTCATGTCAAAAAGGATGGTATCTTAGTAAGGGACATGACATTTACGTAAAAAAAAAAATTCCCCGATTCTTCAAAAGTTCTGAAGTTTGGCCTAAGAAGTTAATTGTTTTAATTTGTAGCCACCTTCAGAGTTAGGATTTCATTTTTGTATACTTAACAAATGAAAAAGATGGTCTCATGCAATGTAGTTTTAATACAAGATTAGACTAGAGTATGTGTCCATAGAACATGATGCCCTACGTAATTATTACATTACCATGTTCAGTAGACTGTGAAATCTAGGTCAAAACCCTTACTTGAGATACATATTAAACATGTGTACTAGGTTTCAAATTTATGAGACCACGAACTACCCTAAGCTTATAACATTTCCATGCCTAGTTAATCCTGAAATCTGTGTCAAAACCATAATTTGGCACATACATGTACAAAAATAATATGATATGGTACATTGTACATGTATGATTGCCAATACATTGTATATGTATATCAAACAGTTCACTTAATAATTATAAACATGTGTTCATGTACAAACTACATTAACCAAAACTTTGACCTGATGCCAGACAGACACAAACCAGAAAACATAATACCTCTCTCGTAGGCAGGGCATAAAAAAGCCTCCTTGCCTCATCAAATATTGGCCTATAATTTTTGTTTTGTATGTCATTAGTGGTTTCTTCAATCCTATTTTTAAATACCAGAAAAATAAATATGTACTGAGGTAGATGTTGGACCAGCTATTGATTTGAAAGATCCTGGTAACTAACAAATTTTAAGTACTACAGTATCTAGCATTTCTTTTTGTAGATATATATATATACCTTGCATTTTACTTTGTGTCAACACAATCAAGTATTAAAACTTAAAACAAAAAAAAACAAATCTGTAGCAAACATATATTTAAATATTACTTGTACAAATCTTCTTCCTCTTCTACTTCTAGAACAGGTGCAGTTACAACTGCATTCTTTGGATCAGTCTCTGCTAGTTTATCATTTCCTACACATCTAGTTGTTGAAATTGTACGCCACTGAATGTGTTGACATGTCTTCAGTTTGTAATGTCTTGGTGCTTTTAAAGAACATATGGTGAATTCATTATGCAGCAAACACTGCAAATAAAATGTAACAAAATTTGACATTTAAGAATGTTTAGGTTTGCTCATGTAACCCAAAAGATTGACCATAAATGATTATAGTACATTGTATTTCAGAAATGGATCTAACCACAAAAAAACTTAAAGTTGATCGATGAACCATGATAATAAGGTCAAGGTCAGATGAACCCTGCCACCATACAATTATTACATACACCAACTATAGTTGACCTTATGCTTCAAGTACCTGAGAAACAGACCATACCATGAAAACTTAACATTGAACAACGAACCTTGACTTCATGGTCAAGGTCAGATGAACTCTGACCGACAGTCATGAACACCTTAAAATCATTCCATACACCTTATATACATTGTAGTAAACCTTTTGCTTCTAGTATCTGAGAAACTGACTTAACCATGACAACATGACAATCACCCATAAAGGACAACTAAAATACTAGGAAATGATTGCTCTGATATTTGACAGCCTTTTTTGTATATGCTGCGGTCCTGGTCATCTGAATACTGATGGCATTTTGTGGACTACTAAAACACCTTCTTTTAAGTATGACTGCGAATAAGGATTCATATGAAAATGGAATTGCCTCTTCTTTACCTTTTTAAAGTAATTTGTTAAATTTGGTCTATACCAGACATACAATTTTGAGCTTTACTGACATAAATGGATGTATTCTGAAGATGGATTATGGTACTGCACTGTAGCTATTTTGAGATAATTTATGGAACCCTTATAATTGGATTGAAGCTGGAAGTAAGTACCTGAGGAAATACATCATATTCCATTATTGTGGCTGACAAGTAAACATGTATGTAATCTACTTGTTAAAAACCAGTAAACTTTGGGCAATCACCAGGTAGCACCATCTTCATATTAAATCATAATGCTCCCAAAGAGGGCATAAATGGAAGCAGGGTCTATATACTATAGCTTTTAAAACCATGTGACATTGCAGCCAACATATTACCAGTTTTTGATATTTTTAATGAAGGGGCCATACTTTTTAAGTATTTTAATACCACAAGTTTGTATCTCATTTACTAAAAAGAAGCATACAATTTCCCCCAAATAAGTATATCTGATTACTAAAAAGCATGATGACAAGGGAAACAAAAATGCATCTCTTAGAAACCAATAACCTTGGGCGGTTGGGAGTTCATTAGGTTACACCTGCCTCACATTAGAGGACTTAGATTGCAAGGTCCCTTTTATCCATATAGCTCCTCAAGTGATGCTATATTGAATAACTGTTTAAACAGACCTCGTCTGCTTCCACATGTAACTTGTGCCTCATATTAAGAAACAAACATAAAGTCTTTAAAGATGCCAAACTGTTACTGTTAGAAAACGGTATACACAAGGATGTTAATTTCTTAATTGTTCAAGCCAATGTAAGAGGTCTGACTTTTGAAATCAAGAGAAAAAATGACATAAATCGTTAAAAGCATGGGCAATAAAGAAATTGGTGAGACCTTAGCTCCTTTTGCTACTTGTTTTACAAGTCCTGCTTTTCGAGACAGCAGAAGGACAGCCATACTGCCCGGTTGCAAGTCTGCCTCGTAAAAGCGTTTGACAAATTTTCATTTTCTCCTTGCTGCAAATCATTCGAACAACATCGATTCACGTAACCTTGACCCTAACTCCCGCGAAAATCTTGAATGGATCCTGCTGAAGTAGAATTTCTTGCTGAAAAAGAGGAAATATCTGTCGTCCCTAACTTTACACAGGATAAAATATACCTGATAGGTGTTAGTAGTAACATTACAAGAGCACTTAATTCGCTTCTGATGCATGACAATTGTTTATAGCATAATTTGAAGTGTATTATTTTTCATGTTTATTTCACAAATGTTACATTGGCTAGAGGTATAGGGGGAGGGTTGAGATCTCTCAAAACACGTTTAACGCCGCCGCATTTTTGCGCCTGTCCCAAATCAGGAGCCCCTGGCCTTTGTTAGTCTTGTATGTTTTTTAATTTTAGTTCATGTATATGTTTTGGAGTTTAGTATGACGTCCATTTTCACTGAACTAGTACACATTTTTGTTTAGGGGCCAGCTGAAGTCTTGTCTCCTGATGCTGAATTTTCTCGCTGTGTTGAAGACCTATTGATGCCATCGGCTGTTTTCTGCTCTTTGGTCGGGTTGTTGTCTCTTTGACACATTCCCCATTTCCATTCTCAATTTTATTTTAAATTTGTTTGATTAAGACGGGGAATTGCAGACGTGGCAAGATTTGCATGCATGTACTAGATGTTGTTAATTTTGAAAATGACCTTGGTGGTCTCGTGTTGGCATGCTTTCCTCCAGTGAGGGAGGGTGTGGGGTTTGATCCCAACCAGATTAATCAAAAGAGCTTAAATTGGTATGTTCTGTTTCTCTGCTCATCAAGTGGCATTGAGGAGTAAAGGCAAAGGCAGTTCGTTTAAACCAATAAAGCATATCCACATCAATATGTTCCTGTCCTAAATATACATATATATATTATTTGTCACCGGATGTTATAATACCAATCCATCATCATCATCAGTTTTGAAAATTCTAACCTTTTCAGTAACAACAATATTTAAGCTATCTGTAACAATTAAATTTTTATTAAGAGAATTGAAAAGGTTTAGTAAGTATGAACATGTAAGTATTTAGGGCTTTATTTAAAATTCAAATTCAAATATTTTATTTAACAAAGCACATATTATATACATGTATATGAAGGGGCGCAAGACAACTCCACCAGAAGACAACAAGGACCGTCTACAGAAAAGACAACTTGGACTGTCTATGTGGATAACTCGGACGGTCAATAAGTCAATTCAGACCGCCTATTAAGTCAACTCGACCGTTTATAATGATAAGTTCAGACAAAGTATTAAAGGAAAGTTTTGACTTTATAAAAGATTAAATGAGTGTATATGAAAAAGACAATTCGGACTGTCTATAAAGACAATTTAGGGCTTGACCTCTTGTGTAGACATGTCTGTCATTTGTCTTTGGTGGAGAGTTGTCTCATTGGCAATCATACCATATCTTCTTATTTTTATATGTATCTCTATATTGTTGAAGTTTGAAATAATTAGATTTACAATTAATTACAGATTGTTAATTGGATCTATTTCAATTATGACTTTTAAGTAAAATGCAATGAGATTATAATAAACAAATATAATAATGAATTCAATTTTAATACAGATAAATCAAGTTTGTTTAATGAATTAATAAAGATTTTATTTAAAATTAGAATCACCATGGTGAAGTAGAAACTCTTGATTTACATCCTTTTTCCATTTTTTGTCTTGCCTTGGCGGAGTCAAAAAGTAAGAGTTAGACATAGGTATGCTGTTTCTGGCGACGGCATCAACAATGTATTAGTTTGTGTTTAGGTCTAGTTTATGGTGAACCACTAGTGGTAGGTTAATGATATTTGGTAGTCTAGACAATTTACGATTATCAATTTCTGGAAATTCTATTCCGTGCGGTTTTCATTCTTTAAATAAAAATTCGCAGTCTTATCAATGCTTTAAATAATACTATCTTTTCTTCTGAATATTAAAGAGCGTAAATGACTATGATCAAGTTCCAGGTTACTATTTAGTTTCTAATGTTCCTCAAGCTGCCCTATTAAGTGCAGTTGAAGGAGACTATGATCATGATGATAATTTTGACAAATTAAATTTCGAAGTCAATTTTCTGCCAGTCAATGTTTTAATACATCTATTGAAACTCATTTTAGAAAACAATGAATTTGAATTGATGGGAAAATATATAAACAAATAAAAGGTACGGCAATTGGTGCAGTCCCTTCACCAGAAATCTTCGACATACTTATATTTGAAACAATGAATCAAGTAGTTTCTGCATTTCAACTTTAAGACAAAATATTCTATACAGCAGGGTCTGACACTTACCATTGTCCGATTGCCCCGGGCAAGTTAATGCCGTATTCAGACAAGTAAAAACATCATCTTGGTTGTCTGATCGGGCAAGTGAAAAAAAAAGTGTTATATGATTAAAATTTCACAAATATTGTCTGTTGTTTTGTCCATAGATTACTCAGTAATAACACTGCACGGTCGAGTAAAGTGGTCTTAACCTCCCTTCAATGCGTATATTTCGTCATTTGTTCGCACTGAATTCCCCATTTTACCAAAAATAGATCACGTTTGAAATATTGGCCAATCAAGCGGACGCGGCGTTGCTTCGTCATTATCGTTATCAATGGGGACACCACTCAGGCGTTTCCGATGCACATGTTATTCCCACCAACCAATGGAAAGCGGAGGTCTATTTTCGTTGTTCTAACTTTAGAATTTGACATCGAATGTGTATTTCCCTAAGATGGAAAAACGTAAATGCTTGAAAGAGAAAATGAAATTAAACTTTAACAAATTTGTCAGTTGTTGTCAGTTTATCAAGAAGCGTTTTTTGAAATGGCATTTCTTAGATAAATTATTATGAAATAAGTATCTCTATGTAAATGATCCTATTCCCGTATATTCGTCGATATTTTCCCTCCCTCCTCGGCTCATATATGCCTCATAGTATCTCAGTGGTCAAGTCTAGTTGCTGCCATCATGGCACAACAATCAACCCTGGCAAGTTTTTTCAGTGGAATTCCTCAAAAAAGGAAATCTGACTCCCAGTCCGAGTCAAAAGCTAAATATGAACAAAAAAGGAAGCCACGAGTGTTCATTGAGTCTTGGAAAAAGAAGTTTGATGGTATTGAAGATTCACCAAAGTATGTAAAAGTTTGGGCATGTAGATTTCACTTTCGGACAAGTAAAAGTAATAGGGCACTTGCCCAACTGGACAAGTTGGTATAAAAGTTAATGTCGAACCCTGAGACACATGGTCTATGATGAAACAATTTAGCCTAGACCGAGCGCAATTCTTCTAGCCTCGGGCTATAGGTCCTGCATTAATTTCAAACCCTGCCGGCATGTCTCATTTCCATGGAGATTGTTTGGCCCTGCCCCCTCAGTCATGGTCTATTGACTTTGAAACTTTTGTTAAGTTTACATGTATTAATTTGTGATTAGGTCAGTTAAAGGGGAACTATGAGTGGTAGGTTTATAATAATTTGTATGCAGTTGTAAAAGCATTAGCACATCTCATCTCCATGGAAAATATTTTAGATCAGCTTAAGATGAACCACTTAAGTTGATGATATTTGGTATGCATATGTATTGGCATTTGCAAGTCTCATTTCCATGGAGATTATATAGCCCTACCGACTCATCATGGTTCATTGACTTTGAAACTTTAACATAGTTTACGAGTAAATGTTTGTGTTTAGGTTTGTTTAATGGGAACGTCTTATAAAAAATTAATTGTATTTGGTAGGTTGTTGTATTAGCATTGGCACATCTCATTTCCATTGAGATTGTTTAACCCTGTACCTTCAGTCATGGTTCATTGACTTTGATTATTTGCATTATCAAAATAACAAAAAGGTGAGACATATCTCTGTGTTAACAGTTTATTTGTCTCATTGTGTAGTGTCCAACAGATAACAGTCCAAAAATAAAAATGTTGATGTATCTTGCATCAATTCTCCCTAGGGGGTGGTAAAACAATTGATAAAACCTGGGTAATTATCAGGATCCTTATCGTGCTTTGAAAGAAAAATGATTTATTCAGATGAAAGCATCTGTTTACCATTGGTCATTGTCATGATTGTAAACAAAATATTATGAGTCACAGCATAGATAAGCAATAGTTGCTCAGAAATTTGCCAAGGGGAACAGTGAAAGAAATGGATTATGTGTTATATGAAAAAGATTAAAAGGATGGATAGTGTGAAGAATGGTTGAGTAAAATGGACAGTTAGAATAAGATTTGGAAGTTAGTCTTGAAAAAAATTATGAGCCAGTTTTTTTTTTTTTATTGAAGTAATATCTAAGGTCAACTATATTTGATGCATGCAATGATTGTAAGGTGTACCTGTCTGTCTGGCTTGGTTATTCTGACCATGACCTCATTTTTATGGATCATTGACATTTTATGTGACACAAGTATCACATAAATTTAAATTTCAGTGTGTGCACTTGTCTTAAACTGGTTATCAAAATCATATGTTGGTTCTTTGGCACATTTTGATGACCTTTTTTTGTGTAGAATTCTTGTGGGTTTATTTTAGAAATCTAGAAAAGGTAGTTCTAATCTGATTTGTTTGGTTTTTTGGCACATTTTGTATGCTGGCATTTATTTGTAAGCCAGCATCTCAGTGTGTCAATGCAACTAGACATGACTTGCATCTATGGAGTTCAGATGGACTTGGGAAATTCCATTCTTTATGAAATAATCAACTTTGCATGTTATTGAAAGTTAATCTAGCCATGCAGCTATTAAAGTCGAAATGTATTCTGAACAGGTAAGATGAATTGTAAACTGTTTTTGGTAACCAAGTGTATTTTCTAATTATTTTTTTCTTTGGCAGATTGGCAGTTTATGACATCACAGAAGAAATCTAAGGATTTTAAAACTTGTTTGCTGAAAATTGTAATGGCGGAAACATGACCTAAATATGTGTTGAATACAATTACTAACTGTTATGAAACTTCAAATTGAAATAAATGTTCAAATGTATTTTACAGGGAGATGTAGGGCCATTTAATGCTGGGCTACCTGTCAAAGTTCCACTATGGATGGCCATTAATCTGAAGCAAGGACAGAAATGTAGGATTATTCCCCCTGATTGGATGGATACAGGTATTTAGCCAATGATAGGACAAACATATTTATAAACATGACTTTGCATCAGTTATAATATTAAATTAAAGGCCATTCCTATATTATTAGCTCACCTAGCCCAAAGGGCCAAGTGAGCTTTTCTCATCACTTGGCGTCCGTCGTCGTTAGCTTTTTACAAAATTCTTCTCCTCTGAAACCACTGGGCCAAATTTAACCAAACTTGGCCACAATCATCATTAGGGTATCTAGTTTTAAAAATGTGTCCGATGACCCCACTAACCAACCAAGATGGCCGCCATGGCTAAAAATAGAACATAGGGGTAAAATGTAGATTTTGGCTTATATTTCTGAAACCGAAGCATTTAGAGTAAATCTGACAAGGGTAAAACTGATAACCAGGTCAAGATCTATCTGCCCTGAAATTTTCAGACAAATCTGACAACCTGTTGTTGGGTTGCTGCCCCTGAATTGGTAATTTTAAGGAAATTTTGCAGTTTTTGGTGATTATCTTGAATATTATTATAGATAGAGATAAACTGTAAACAGCAATAATGTTCAGCAAAGTAAGATCTACAAATAAGTTGTCATGACCAAAATTGTCAGTCGACCCCCTTTAGGAGTTATTGCCCTTAATAGTCAATTTTTAACAATTTTTTGTAAATTTTTATAATCTTTTACAAAAATCTTCTCTGAAATTACTGAGACAAATTTAACCATACTTGGCCATAATCATTATTAGGGTATCTAGTTTAAAAAATTTGTCTAATGACCCCGCCTTCCAACCATCATGGCCGACTTGGTTAGAAATAGAACATAGGGGTAAAATGCAGTTTTTGGTTTATATCTCTGAAACTAAAGTATTTAGAGCAAATCTGACAGGTGGCAAAAATGTTCATCAGATTTAGATTTATCTGCCCTGAAATTTTCAGACGAATCAGACAACCCATTGTTGGGTTGCTGCCCCTGAGTTAGTAATTTTACAAAAATTTTGCAGTTTTTTTGTTATTATCTTAGATATCATTATAATATCTAATATCTAATACTATTAATTATGATTTTAACCTTATTTTACATTATTTCCAAAGCATCAGTAAATACAGGTGAGGGACACAGGCTCTTGAGAGCCTCTAGTTTAAGAACATTTCATAATTTTGCAGTTTTTGTCCAGCATATATATTGATCCTATCACCTTTTTAGGACATTTTATAAAAGAAAGAAATTAAAGCCCATAAGAAATGTGTGAATATCTGCTGTATATGTCTTGGAATTCATAAGTAAATTCAGAATGATGAATTGTACATTTCCCTACAATACAATACATGAAAGTTACTGTAACGTTTTCTCAAGTGTTTGGAATATTTTGATCCAATTTTGTAGTCCTAGCAGGGGGTCTGTTTGTCAGTCCCATTTTAAAATACACATGTTCATTATGCTTTTTAAAATTTAAATTTTTTTAAGTATGTGAGAAATTAGGGTTTTGACCCAGATTTCTTGGTTTACTGAACCGGAACGTCTTTTTACCACAGAACACCACAGAATACCACAGAACACCACAGAACACCCAAAATATACCACAGAACTACACAAAATACAATAAAACTACTAAAATATATCACAGAACATTGAATTACTTTACAAAATGCAAAACTAATCATTCAGAAATATATTATTTTTTATAATTCGGGCTACAATAAAGATAGGACGATTGACCTGGATGAGATATAAATTTCTTTAATGATCTTAACTTTTTTGTTATTTGGTAGATTTTTTTTATATTTGGAGACCTTTGAAATACTAAACTTTTATATTTTATAAAAATCTTTTAAAACAATTTATTGTAAAAAAAAAGTTTTTCTATAAGAAAAAAAAATGATTTTCCATAAATGAATGTTTTTGTATAAAAAATTGTTTTTTTCTATAAAAGAAATGCTTTTTCTATAAAAAAAAAAAAAATTTCTGTAAAAAAAAATGCTTTCTTCTATAAAAAGAAAAATTGACATGATGAATTTTAGCGGTGCCAATTACACTATTAAGATTCAGTTTGTTCTCCCAATTCTGTTAATAAATTTCAAAATAATCAACTATTTACAAAATTGTCAATTGATTGAATTCTAATTGCCATCTGATTATGCAAGGTATAATTCAATTAAATGGTTTATTCTTCCTAAAATCTTGTATGTCATTTGTAAGAAATCCATGTATGAATAGTTGAATAAAAAGGGATTCATCAGATTAGATTGTCGAAACATAATATAAGTTATCTACGTTCATATCCGTAGATATGGATATTTTAACACCCTGAAGTATCCAAGTACATCCTGAGGCGCAGCCGAAGGGTGTACAGGGTACTGAAGGGTGTTAAAATATCCATATCTACGGATATGAACGTAGATAATGAATTTATCCCTGGTCTTAGTCTAAATCTGGCGATTTTTAGAGAAATTCGATCACAAAGTTAAACGTGAAAGCAACGTTTTTTTCATTTTTTAAATATCTTTTATTGAAATTTGGGCATTTGACATTTTTTTAACGGGGTGTAGGGTACTACCTTTGGTAGAACCCTACAGGTAGACAAATATAAGACGTTTTTAAACTAGAGACAGAGAAACTGAAATGGGTCGAATTTGGCGTGCAATGTTGTGAGAGTTACATCATAAACGGTGTGACGTCAACGTGGGTCATTTGCATAGCTAGGTCAGTAGTACCATTCATTGACAATGTGGCTGCATAGTGATGCATTTACTTAAATGAGTGCAAATAATCGATATAATAAGATAAAATGGTTAGTGGATTAAATATTTAATTATACAGACATCATGGAAAATCTACAGAATTCGATATTTCATAAGGAACAACCATGGAACTAATGATAACGCGCGTGAAATTCCCCGATGTAATGGGTAGCAACGTCCGGGGATATGGGTTAGCAACACCCAGGGGCTATGGGTTTTGTAACAACGTGCGTTAACCAATCAGAATCCTAGAAATATACTAAGCCGGGGATAATGCTTATTAACTTCAGATAAATATCCATAAAACCTAACGAGTTAGTTTTCATTACAAGATTCTTTATTTCTCAAACACCATATAGTTACAATGGTACAAAGAAGTTCATCAAAAGTTACAACATAACATAAACATGTGAATTCAAAATAGAAGTGAATAATTTTCCAAAGCAGCTTATAACTGTTATAGGTCTGAAATTGCTAGGATCATGTTTGTCTCCTTTATTCTTAAATAAAGGTATTATATTTCCAGTAAGCCAAATATCAGGAATAATACCACTGTCAAATATGATATTAAAAAGTTTCACAAACACCTGTGACATAACACTAAATGAGTGGTTCAAATATTAGATAATTCATCAATGTGCAGTTTGAAAATATTAATAGTAGCAATATAAAAAAGTTCTAACAAAAGGGTTTGGCACAGCTGCGAATCATATTAACATCTGTAAATAAAAACACTAATTTCTGTTTATCATCAAAAGACATAAAATCACTATTAAAATGTGTTACTTCATCAAATAATTGATTTCTAAAATCATCATATAAAGGACACGATAAAATAACATGGGCTTCATCTTCTAAAATATCCTTACAACTATCACAGACTCGCTGCTCTAAATGTAATTTGTTCAAATATCCCTGTTTCGATTCTTAGTGGTGTTACACCACATTGAAATTTGACAAAAGAACTCCTTTGTGAAAATGACATTGGAATTGTACAATAAGTTTCCGTTTCAAAACTGTTCTTAAATAAATTATATGTTCGAAGTTTGTTACCACCTTTACCAGATAAAGCTTTCTCTGACTGTAAAAAAAAGTAAATGTCACAAAATTAAATATACCCCAGAATTACAATTGTTAACTTGTGACTTTAAATATTTTTTGTATATTTTGGTTTTAATACTGGTAGGTGTTTTTGGTATAGACCCAATAATAGGTTAATTCAGTTGGGGGCGTAGCGATAGTCAGTCGACCCTAAATGGAAAAATAAAATTTATTTGAATAATAAATGTCAAATTATAAAAAGAATTAACAATAACAATAGTATAATGTCTGAAGTATTTATATTTCGAAGTTCTGTGGTATATTTTTGGTGTTCTGTGGTATTCTGTGGTAAAAAGACGCTCCCTTACTGAACAGAGAAATATGATGATGTGAACTCCATGGTGTCCTATAGATACAGATTCTTGTTTATATATATATATATATATATTATGAGGCAAAATATTAAGGTTGGTGGATTTTTTAATAGTTGTGACCTAGTTTTATTAATCTGTAGATGTTTTATTTCTTAGAGAGGCTTCAAGACAAGAAACAAGAAGAAACTGATAGCAAGTTCTTTACAGAGATGCCTAGTCCTCATTTCATGGAAATAACACAGTTGTTACTTAAATGGTAAGTTACTGTATAATCAACAAAGAAATAACACAGCTGTTACTGAAATGGCAAGTTACTGTATAATTAACAAAGAAATAACACAGCTGTTACTTAAATGGTAAGTTACTGTATACTCAACAAAGAAATAACACAGCTGTTACTGAAATGGTAAGTTACTGTATAATTAACAAAGAAATAACACAGCTGTTACTTAAATGGTAAGTTACTGTATACTCAACAAAGAAATAACACAGCTATTACTTAAATGGTAAGTTACTGTATACTCAACAAAGAAATAACACAACTGTTACTTAAATTGTAAGTTACAGTACACTCAACAAAGAAATAACACAACTGTTACTTAAATGGTAAACATGTCACAGTATACTCATCAAAGAAATAACACAACTGTTACTTAAATTGTAAGTTTGATACTGTATACTCATCAGCAAAATAATAACACAGCTGTTACTGAAACTGTAAGTTATTGTATACTCATCTTCAAAAAAATAATACAGCTGTTAATGTTGTATTAATTTATACATATCATCAAGCAAGTTTACATTTGTATTAAACAATATGTGTTCTTTGATACACTATGTTGACTTTACAGTGATAAACTCAGAATCATTGTACCTATGTACATTTTGTCAATCATTTTCAAGTGTGTGTTGTTCTATTGAAGAACATAAGATAACTGTTATAACTTATCTATTTTGACAGATTTGAGATCCTTGATAAAATTTTTGTTTTATTAAAGAAACAGTTTTTTATTGACAAACTCAACTTAGTTGAAATTATTAAGTGAGACCTTATCATTTAGAATTTGTTAGATAATGATCAGCATTCAGTTGTCTTTTTTTTAAATTGAGGATATTATATCATCATTGAATAAGAACATTATTTTATACTTTCAGTGCCACAGACGATATTCCACATGCTGATGAAATTAGAACCCTTGTAAAAGATATATGGGATTTAAGAATTGCAAAGTTGAGAAGCAGTATTGACACTTTCTTAAAAAGTGATGCTACACATGCCAAGGTACTACAAAGTTCTAGATGCATAAGCTTTTGTCATTACATAGTTGCTGTTGTAATCGAACACTTATAAGATTTCTATGAATAATGGAACATAAAAAGATAGAACCAAAAATGACCAAAATACAAGTGAAATTACTTTATTAATTTTGTCCTCTGCTGCAAATGACAGAGTAATAGTCTTTGACTGTCCCTCCCTAACAAACGACTGATCTTGGACTTCTTTGCCAGAAGCTTTCTCACTTGGAAATATTGTTTGTCATCATATGTGCTTGACCATATTCTACATTCTGACGCCTTGTGATTACTACACCTTTAGAGTTGGACATCATTTGCCAACAAAATTACCTTGTAGGATTGTTTGTCATTACAAATGTATACAACCATTTTCATTTGACAGTTGTTGCTGGCCATGGTGATATGTGACTTTTAAAGGCATATTGTAGCTAACTTGTGATTCCTTCTATGTCTGAAAGCTTCCACACTTATTTATCATTTAAGGATGTTCGCTCCTCTTGTTTTTGATTTTTTGTCAGATATTCAGAATCCTCTGGTTTTATCAATGTTTTTCCTTTAAGAAATTTTGTCCACTAACCCCTCCTTTTCTTTTCATAATTTTATTACATATAGTTTAAAAAGCCATATTTGAAAATCTTATAAAATCCTTGTTATTTTTTCAATGTTTTTGAAAGAAAAAAGGTGCCAATGTTAAATGTATGAAAAATCTAGAGAGAATCATTTCCCGCCAAATTTTCAATGGCTTATATCTCGAAAACAAGCACCGGACCCTTCATTTTTTTCTGCTTTTTTAGCTCCTTTATTTATATACTATCTATTTATGACAGTCTTTCAAAAAGCTTGTTATTTTGAAACAGAGTAGCGAACATCCTTAAGGAAGTTGAACATACTGTACAGCCATATTGATAAGTTTTCATGAAATGTGAGGCTATAACCATTTATGTTCTGTAATAAAAGAACACCTTGTTAACATTAATACCTCCCAGACAATTATGTCTGAATCCTTCATACTTACTGAAATTTGTTTTCCTCGTGTGTAGTTGACCTCTTTATACAGTTTCTCTGATTTGACTATATTTTAGGACTTTGACAATTTTTGTCCTACGGTATTTTAACCATAATGACAACTTGAGATCTTTTGTAACTTTCCTAATGCCATTAAATTGTGTGACAATTTGAACACAACTCATTGAAAAACTTCACATGAAAATGTGGTGTTATACAAATATTTGTACAACAGTCCCTTAATTCTAAAATTTACCACATTTCATTTAAGTGGCAACACGGAATGACTACTAGGCTCTATAAACTAGGATGATGATGATATATTTGTAACTGTTGTTGCTCTGTCTGCTCCTGAGAATAATACAATGTAAAAAATAAATGGGACATTTAAATACAGTGTATCAATCTTATTCGTTTCAGAATAGTCAGAACATTGTGTTTAATTGAAAATATTGAGATTCTAGATATATTCTCTGTTTATTTATTATTTATTTACCACTTAATGATAGGTTAAGTACAGTTTTATTTTGGTTAATGCTTGGTAATAATTATTTCAGTTGAATTATTTGACATTGATGGAGTTGAACACTGCAAGACCATTCCTTACCAAAGCCTTGGATCAAATGCATCTGTTGAGATCAAACCTTAGTGGGAGAATACAGTCAACACAAGAATGAAGAAGCTCTAGTTAAATTGACAATTTAATCAACATTAGACTCTTATGTTGCAGGATTTCTGATTCTTGGAAAAATGCCAAGAATTTTAAAGTAGAAAATATGAATGAAGATGACAGTGATACATGTACTGTGATACATGTACAGTGATACATGTACTGTTAAGATGAAATTTTTATACCAGAAATCGATGCAGCATGATATGTAATATAAGTAATTTATGAAGTTTATTACATAATAAAATACTACTCCGATTAGTTTAAAGAAGCATTCTGTTGTAATGTAGAAAGATACTAAAGGGGTTATAAAAAGGATAGGTCATTGGTTCCCTCCCCAGCCAGGTTATATAAAAGACTTTGTAATTACTGCTTCTCTGTTAAGAATGTGGCATTTTAGAGAATGATCAAAGACTGGTTGGCTTTGGAACTAGTTAGTTCAAATTCTAGCTCTTGGTGTCAGTCTAGTATAAAGAAGGGTACAGTGACCTATAGTTTTTAAGCAGTTAAGCTGCTTTATGCGAGCACCCTAGATTTGTGTTCTACCCAATAAATGCTGAAATATGTGCCATTGTTATTATCTGGCTGGCTATTATGTTATTTATAACTAATTGAACACTTTTTTCATACTTTTAATTCTGGAATACAAAAAATATGACCAGAAAAACCTTAAATGATCGTCGAACCACCCAAAAGTTTTGAAGTTGCACATAGGAAGTAGTGCTCAATAGAAATCCTTATGTAGTTTATTATCCCCTGTGCTTTTAGCCAAGATGTCAAAGAACAATTGCATGAATTATTTCATCGCCGAAAATCTCTAATTACAAGTCGTTTACAGTTGCCAAATGGCACAAAGCGCAGGAATATTGTATAACGGCTGTGACTAATATGACACGGAGTTGAAGTCTCAGTTGGCGGTAATTTTAACTTCGTCGACAAAACGTAAATCAAGGACGTTTTAAATTTGGTGATTTCTGATATTAATCATTTTGTTCAACCGCTAGCTTTATACCGAAAATCGCCAACATGTTATGTGTAAATCCGAGTAAATCGTATCTGACTGACAAAAACAACATTGAAAAACAATGGATGCCATAAACCGGAAATGAAGACAATTATAATACCGGATCTAATTCCGGGGGCGGATAAGGGTAATTCCGGGTTTGCCGATAAAATACAATAAAAATATTATAATTCCAGGCATGAGACAAAATACATCTATCATGATGAAATATAAACTCTAGAATTGAAAACCAAAGATATATTGAAAAGAAAGAAAAAGCAGGAAATATTTTATACAGAAACTCAAAATTACTTTTAGTTCACAAATTTTCATGTCAAAAACCAATAAAATGTGACAGTATTTTCCTTATCATTAATAAATATTGATATTACATGTAGATGTTTTTATTGTTTAAACATATTACTACAATTCCATGAGGTAATTTCTTCTCAATTTTGAAGGGCCTATAAAAATCTGGAAGTTTCTTACTTTATTTTCACAGAGGAACTAGCTAATATAATATATAGTGCAACTAGATATGATACACTTAAACAGTTTTGAATTTGAACTGTTTAATATAATGGTATAATTAGTAATAAATAATCAATTGTTGAGACAACACACCCACCCACAGTGATACCCTCAGCCTCCCTCAGCCTTCCTAATACAAAAAAAAAGATTATTTGAATTCATAAATTAATATACAAGACAATCACATTTATTATTAAACAAGTTAAACGACAGTGACACTGACAATGAAACAAGCTAACTTAACACCAAAAGCACATTAAAGTATCTTACTGAGTTATGAACTATTTCAAGTAAAAGCAGGACCTGGAATTTAGGTTGTGGACCTTTCAGTTTGGAGTGTCAAAGGTCCTGGACTGTCCAGTACCAAATGTTAATTTTAACCCCTGCATTCACAGTAAAGCGATTTTGTCGTGTATTGCAATTCCAAGTAGAATTTACTTTTGGACATTAAACGTTTCGAATGCGTTTTAAACTAATTCAAATCAGTTAATAATGTGAATCGAATTCGAATTATGTGTGAACGCAGCATTGATATATTTAAGAAATGAAGAATATTAAAAAAAGATGGACAAAATATTTGTATTAAATTTTTTGCAATTTTTGTCTTGCCTTGACAGAGTCAAAAAGTGAGACATATATATATATATATAGGCATGCTGTTTTGGCGGAATCAACAATGTATTAGTTTGTGATTTTGTGATAAGGTCTGGTTTCTGGTAGGTCAATGACATTTTGTAAGTAGTTGTGTTAGCATAGGCACATCTCATTACCATAGAGAATATTTGGCCCCACCCCCTTAGTCATGGTCTATTGACTTTGAAACTTTGCATAGTTTACATGTATATGTTTGTGATTAGGTCAGTTTAGGGGGAACCACTAGTGGTAGGTCAATGATATTTGGTGTGCAGTTGTATAAACTTTTTCATTTCTAATTTCCATTGAGATTATTTGGCCCCGCCCCCTCAATCATGCTCTTTTTACTTGGAAACTTATGTTACTTTGAAATTTCATTTATTAGTTTTCGATTAGGTTAGTATTAGGGAAACCAATAGTGGTAGGTCAATGATAATTGGCATGTAGGTGTAGAAGCATTAGTACGTCTCATTTCCATAGAGGATATTTGGTCCTCACCCCTCAGTCATATGCATGATCTATTGACTTTGAAACTTTTACTTAGTTTACATGAATGAGTTTGTGATTATTATGATTATGTCAGTTTAAAATTACCAGTAATCTTAAGTCAAAGCTATTTGGTATGCGAACGTATTGGTATTCAAAAGTTTCATTTCCATGGATATTATATAACCCCACCCCCTCATTATGGTTCATTGACTTAGAAATTGAATTTGTGTTAAGGTTTGTTTAAAGGGAACGACTTATGAAAAGTCAATGGTATTTGGTTTGCAGTTGAACAAGCATTGGCACCTTTCATTTCCATAGAGATTGTTTAGCCTTGTACCTTAAGTCATGGTTCATTGACTTTGAATATCACTTACATGTTAAAGTATTACTATTTTAAGTGTAACATTTGCATTATCAAAATAACAAATAGGCAAAACATTACGTTGTGTTAATAGCTTATTATAGATTAGACATGTGTAATTATTATAAAAATAAGGAGATGTGGTATGATTGCCAATGAGACAACTATCCACCAAAATTCAAATGAAGTGGATGTAAGCAATTACAGGCAACCGTACAGCCTTCAAAAATATATGTTGCATCATTGCTAGGCCATTATAACAACATCAGCATTTCTTGTAATACTAGTATACAAGAAAATTACACCATTTCAGATAGTTTCAGGTATGATTTGATAATTGTGCATAGTGGCACCAGCTGATCCAACTAAAAGCGCTAATATGGCATATTCAAACTCTAGTACATAGTGGAATTAAACCATACACCACTGTTGGACACCATAATTGAAATTATTATTCTGAAAAGAATATTCCTCCATGCAGCCTGCAACAATTAGCAAAACCTATACTGCATAGTAAGATATAAACGACCACGAAATGACAAATGTAAAACAATAAAACTAAAGCAGCCTGATTTATGTACAAAACAATTATGAAAAATAAATATGATATACAGCAACAATCAACAATCACCAAATTACTGGGTCCTCACTATGGACAGGTACATACAGAATGTGGCGGGTTAAACATGTTAGCTGGCACAAAACTCTCCCCTAACATGGGACAGTGTATGTGCATAATCTCAGACATTGAATCTTTAAAAAATAAATTGGAAATAACTTTTGAAAGTGGTAGGATTGGATAGCAGAAACATTACGGTACAAACATTATTTGATACTTGAGAAATAGCTGAGAAATATAGATTCTACCACTGCATCGAGTGTGATACGATATTTATCCACTCGAGACAGTCAAAATGACAGTTAAATTTTCAAATTTAAAACGTGAGGCTCGCCGAGCGTTTTAAATATTTAAAATTTAACTGTCGAGAGTGGATAAATATCGTATTATACGAGATTTGGTGGTGGAATCTGTTTCTCTAATGATTTTCAAACAATATGCAGGCAAACTTATTCCGTCTTTTCGAATGATCTGTAAAAAGATGTGTTCTTTCTATGTGACGTCATCAGGCATGGTCTCCTTTTTTCATGCCGTCACAATAGGAAATTCAGAGGAAAGCAAGTAAATTCGACGTCATAATCGGATTTTAACCAATGAAGAACTGAGATCAAACGAACCACACGTTGATTAAATTTTTTGTATACAATGGGTGCAGAAAGGGATAAATTGACGAAGAATTAGAGAAAAATATTTTCATCCATTCTTCAGCTATATTCATCTTAACTTCTGCCAAGTTTACCTTTGATTTTTTTAATTAACTGCCTATAGCGCCTTTGGTGCTTTGATTACTTTCTGTGTCATTTGGTTTCTTGTGGGGAGTTGTCTCATTGCCAATCATACTATATCTTCTTTTTTAGCTCACCTGGCCCAAAGGGCCAAGTGGGCTTTTCTCATCACTTGGCGTCCGTCGTTCCTCGTCGTTAGCTTTTACAAAAATCTTCTCCTCTGGAACCACTGGGCTAAATTTAACCAAACTTGGCCATAATCATTATTAGGGTATCTAGTTTTAAAAATTTGTCCGATGACCCCGCCTTCCAACCATCATGGCCGACATGGTTAAAAATAGAACATAGGGGTAAAATGCAGTTTTTGGTTTATATCTCTGAAACTAAAGCATTTAGAGCAAATCTGACAGGTGGAAAAAAATGTTTATCAGATTGAGATTTATCTGCCCTGAAATTTTCAGACGAATCCGACAACCCGTTGTTGGGTTGCTGCCCCTGAGTTAGTAATTTTACAGAAATTTTGCAGTTTTTTGTTATTATCTTAGTTATCATTATAATATCTAATATCTAATATTATTAATTATGATTTTAACCTTATTTTACATGATTTCCAAAGCATCAGTAAATACAGGTGAGCGACACAGGCTCTTGAGAGCCTCTAGTTATATTTATATTCATATCAGATTAACATGGATATTACTTATACATTCAGGGCTGACTTGACTTTTGGTCTGGTGTTTGTTAATGTTGATTAGTCATTCTGGACCAATATTATCGCAAGATGTTGCAGAAATCCCATTTGAATACATATCATGAATCTAATGATGTGTTATATGGCTTGCAGAAAGTTGATACATCATTTTAATCATCTACTGCCAACTGTTAATAAGTTATTTGTCCTTAACATAAG